ACTTCATCATTAAGGCAATGTTGATTTTTCTTTTCAAGATAGAGTGTAATCTGAAGCAAAGTGAATGCCTCGGATAACCAGGCCCCCTACTGTTCCTTACAATTAATATATTATGTAAAGCTACATTTCAGGTTCATTTCCTGGACCTCTGCATTTCAGTTTTGAGTTTAAAAGGCTCTGAAAATGAGAACAAAAAAGTACCATTAATGACTATAGCTCTGATTTTCTTTCCTCATTAGCTGTCGTCCTTTAAATCCAAGAGCATTGCAAAAACAAAAATAAATCGGATCTGCTAGTAAGGCATAGTGCATATGGTGAACGTTTCAGCAAGTATTTGTTCACGATGATAAAATGCAAGTGTGACAGTCTCTTGTAACTTAATACCGTGCATAAAAGTAGATCTCTGCACTCCCTTGCTACGTATATCTACAGAGCAGATGCCATACGGGATATGCTTCGTAGCAAATCTGTTTTATGAAGGTACTATGAGGGTTAAATGAAAATAAGCAGGTATCTATCACCTGGCACAGTGTAGTGAGGGCCCCATATATTTGGTCCTTCTCCCTCAGTATGTGCGCAACCACTGAGCTACAGCCCAGTCATGCTTTGATTTCAATGTCTCTAACTTTGCAAAGCAAAAACATTCCTGTATTATAGCCATGTACATATTATGTATACACGAAACATTAATCCTTGAAATAGGAAATAATGGGAATTACTGCTCAGAGAGTTAAGCTTTCTCCATGGTTATTACTCAAATTATGAGCACCATAGCAGCCTAGAGAGAAGGAACAATTAGAATTGGTGTTTGTCAGTGACAGTTCATTTGCAAGGCACAGAGTCATCTCCAATTAAGGTAGGAACAAAGGTGGAACTAATTGGGAGAATTAGTTGACAAGGTCTCACAGTGGTCTGGAAGCAGAGTATGTCAAGCCCAGAAACTGCTCTTCATGTCCTCTCATTAAAGTTCAAGGGTCTGCCATCTCATGCCTATGCAGATCTGCTTTATCTGTTCTGGCTAGACTGTTTCTGCTTCACTTCCCTTGACCACTTTAGACCAGCTTCAAGTGACCTCACACTTCTGTTCTCTGTCCCCGGTAATGTTTCCAGGGGAAAGAATTTGATTGGCCCAGCTAAGATCCGGTAACAGTTGCTTGGTCCAATCAGCAGAAACTTAGACTTAACTGGCCAGCCTAGGGCAGCCAATCAGAACCTCCCTTGCATGAGCTCTGTCACCTCTGGCCACTGCTGGCACTGCCCTTTTAAATTTTTTTTTATTTTTATTAATACATGTTTGCAGTACCTAATGATTACACTCAGGCCAGCTGTTAGTCTCCTTCTTTATCACAGCGGCCTGCCCCTAGCTCTCCTTGTCCAATTGTTAAGGATGAATAGTAATACAGGATGTATATCCACTCATCTGACAGTGAACACATATGTAGTGTGATTAACAGCTATGATGAACATTTAACTTCTTAAAATGATTGAAGACGTTGCTGTGAATCCCTCCTCAAAATACTCCCGCTCACTTTGAACACCTTATCCCATTGTCCATGCCTTTTCCTAAAGCAATTCTGGAAGTCCTCTTTCCTTTGCTTCTCAATGTCCCGAGTTGATTCAAAAAGTTTACAGGATTTTTTGAATAAAAATATTACAGTGTATGATCGGCCACTTTATTTACCTGATCTGCCACCACCTGATTTCTGGGTCTTCTCTAAGGTCAAAATGACCATGAAAGGTAAATGTTTTGAATCATTTAACACATGGAGGCAGCCACAACCACACAGCTGAAGACACGGATGAAAGAGGACTTCCAGGACTGCCTCAGAAAGTGGCAAGAGAGATGGGGTAACTATGTTCCAAGTGAGAGGAAATATTTCAGCATTAACTGTATTTTAGGTTAAACACTTAACTTTACTCCAGAATACACTGTAAATACCTTCTGAGCTCAAGAACCAGACATAGTACTTGTCACCCCCAGTGCCTAGCCCTGAGCTGAATGCAGTGCTCCTGTTCCAGGTGCTTTTTGCCCTCTCTCTCAATGTGTCTGATCATAGGGTCTCTGACACTAGTGTCAGCAATTTCCAATGTCTTTTCTCTGTGCCAGATGATATCTCAGCAGCAGGCTTTCCTCAGAAGGAGGGTGCTATGTGAGGAGATTGCTGATATGCAGTGATTGTTCTCAATGAGAAAGTGAATGACATGAGAAACAAGAGGCATGTGCATTTGGAACCGAATAGCTGTGACCAGAAAGTAAGGAAAAACAAGATTAGCCCTTACATTTCTATTTTTATACTTACCTACCGCCATGATGACCCTAAAGAAGAAACAGAGATTTGGGGTTTTTTTTCTTCAAGGAATATTGCCTTTTGCAATGGAAAATGACAAGTCGTCAAGGGTAATGTGTCTGCCACAGGCTTCAGAGATGACCTAACAGCAGAGACAGCAAATGGAGCCATATCGCTTCACAGAATATTATTTCCTGACTGTTTTCTAAACTAAAAATGCCTCATTTCTTGAAAGTTAGGAAGGGGAGCATCTTAACTAGATATTCTGCTGAGCATAGTAAGTAGGAAGCTATTTAATTGAAAACCACATGGATTTATCTAAATTTTGGTGAGCTAAGCAGTGATTTAGGGATGATTTTTGCAGTCAAATAATAATTATTATTGAAGAATGCCAAAGCCAGATCCCCACAAGAGAAGTGAATACTTTATGAAAAATAAACCTGGGAATAAACTACTTTGGAAACTTACACAGGAAAATTAATCAAAAAGATTTGCTTATTAATGGATATTAATGAATATCCTTTCTGGCCAAAACTCTGGCTTGTAATCTGCTTGACTTGTAATTGGCTAAATTTCTTATGGAACATCCAGGCATCACCCCAAAGCCTCATCCCTTAAAGGACACAAGAGGGAAAGAACGGGTCTCATCCCTGTTTCCCATAATAGGAGGGTTGTAAGAGGTGTCCCAAAGTGTTACTGTCCAAATAAAGCAACAGTGCCATTGTGGAGAGGGATCTCTTTGTACTTTTATCAGGAAAGAAGGGAAGAAACTGATCACCCCATCCTCAGAGGGGTCTCCCAGAGTATCAGACATACTTGTGACATCCTTCAGAAGAGCAGAAGCTGCAGCCTTATGGCAGGACTTGCTGTGTAACTTTCACAGTCTCCCATTCAAAACACTTATAAGAATTTCAAGTCAACCACAGCAGAGCATGAAATCAAGCTAGTGACTGCACTGGTTGTGCCACCCTGGAAGGGGGCCCTTGAATTGCCTCAGTGCTTCATTTCAAACTGCATTGGCAGTCTTGGGAAGTATGGAAGGAAATTAAAGAATGCAACTTACTCACAAACTCAGCTCCTGGGAACTATCTGCATCCTACTACCAGCCCATTAGCTCCTTGGACATCCCAGTAAGGGAAAACTCAGCTGCAGATCAGGTAGCCTGGTAGAAAGTGTCTGGAGTCATGTAATGCAAGTCGGGGAGGGGCATGCATGGGAGAAAGGAAAGAGAATATATTCCTCAGTTTTTATACATCCTTTCTCTGTCCTTCTGTATGTATAATCTTACACAGTAATCAAAGCAATCATCTAAAAAGCAGATCAGATATGGTGGCTCCTCATCCCTTTCCTGCCTAAATATCTCAGTGGTGATTGGTTGCTGTGGAGTTGGGCCATGTGACCTGTGCCCTACTGAACCTCCAGAGTCTACCACTCATCTCTGCCCTGGGGACATTGCACTTGCTCTTCCCTGCAACTGGAAGGCCTTTCTCTTCATCCTTATCCTTTGGATTGCACCCTCCCAACTTCTCTCTTCCTTGAGATCAAAATTACGTGCTTTTCTGACTCTGCTCATATACAACCCTACTGTCAACACCAGTCTGGGCCACATACTCTCTTTGCACCTTTAATTTGCCTTTATTGTAAGTCTCCTTTCTCAGTGACTGATACTTGGAGTGCACAGCACGTTTGTGCTCTGGATTGTTCTTCCCCCTGTACCTAGCACAATGCTTGGAATAGTAGATGCTCAGTATATCACACATGAAGAGAAGGATATACCATGCAATTCATATTTTACACATTAACCATGCATTGTTTTATGTTTCTTGTTCTACATAAATCTCACAGTTTAGAAACTTTGATATTGGCCAGTATATCTGTATTTCTGTATTTCCTTCAACATTCACCCTGTATATAGTTCATGTCAAAGAATATGTTTGACTAACATATTAGAAGGATTTTGCACATTCAGCCACTGCCATTACTTTATTGATAACTAGGAGGAAAATTCAGTTTGTTGTTGTGTGAAGGGGTTACGTTATTAAAGACATTTTTGTTGATTAGCAACGTAATAGCCAAAGCTAGATATAATCTTACAGAATTTCTCTGTCAAAACAAAAATATTCAACAGTTATATAAATATTTCCCTTCAACATCTTAGTTTACTGATTTTGGAAATAGTCTGATACAAGACTTTAACAACCTGGTTATATTCAATTAACTCTAGTGTGAGTACACAGTTTATGTTGGGTGCAGGGAAATGTGCATAATCCCATCTGTTGTGATAACAACTGTGAGAATTCATCTAGCAAAAGAAATTGATTTGCTGTCATTCTTTCCTAACTGTGCACTTGTCCCCAGCTCCCTGCTGGGAATGGCACTTAGTGAGTAGATGTTCAGTGACTAAAACAATCTTAACAGAATATTCAGGGACATTTTTTCCACTAATTTTCACAACTGATATTGGGTCTTTGGTTTTCTCTTTTCAATTCTTTGATGGAATTGCCCCACCCAGTTGTATTATTTTTTTTTCAGATGTAAGAGATACCATTGAAAATATTTTCAGCATGATGAATATTTTTTTTATTTTTTGTGGTACCAGGGATTAAACTCACGACCTTGCACTTGCCAGGCAGGCGCTTATGCCACTGAGCTAAATCCCAAGCCCCAATTAATAATTCTGTTTTCCCACTTTCTTTACAATATCTTTTGCAGACCAGAAGCCCCAAACTGTCTCACAGTCCTCAACCTCCTAATCTGGGTGACCCAACTGAGCATTTATCAGAGACATCCGGGGATTCTTTGGAAGCCATGTCTGAGAGCGAAGTACCAAGTCCTTTCTCCAGAGGCAGCCGGACACGAGCAAGCCTTCCTGTGGTGAGGTCGACGAACCAGACAAAAGAGAGATCTCTGGGTAAGCTGCAGGAGCCGGATTCTGATACCTGTGTTTACTTCTGAACATAGATCCCTGCATTAAAATATCGATTTGATCTCAATTTGTGAAAACACTAACCCGAGAAACTTCATTGATTTGATATTGTGTTAGTTAGCATTCCACTGCTGTAACAAAATACCTGAAATAAGAATTTAAATGGAAGGAAACTTTCTGGTTCATGGTTTCTGGCCATGGTCCCTTGACCCTCTTGCTTTGGGCCAAAAGTGCCACTGACTGGCATCCAGTCCTTTAGCATATGCGCTTTGGTGGTGGAGGGGAACTTTTGAGATTCATACTATAGCAAAAATCAAGCTTTGAGGCTTTGCTGAGAATCAGGGAAAATCCAAGCTGTTTTTGAGGATGGGCATATTCAGAACTGACTGGAATTTGCAATTTGAACCAACAAGTGTTCCTTGCCAGTGTTCTGGAATAGGAAATGCTAGAGCCCAGACTATAGTGCTCTAGCACCTGGTAGTCTGCTGGAAAGTTCAAGTAAGTCCAGGAAGGAGGACAATGTGGCCACCACGCCTAATCCTGTTAGTAAAAGCCATAAGAACAGCGTTGTTCTCTCCATCATTGGGTGAAAGGACGCAATGGCTAGACATGTGCTGGGCACACTTTGCCTTTCAACAAGCTTTTCCAAAAGCTGAAAGGATTCTTCCTTTTCACCTTTACACTGTATCCTCTGTGATTTTGTACTGGAAATTCACCTTCTATCTTACTTGGTTTATTTTGTTTCTTTCATTTTTTTTTTTTTGTACCTTTAATAATATGTACAAGGAATAGGTAGGATTTAGCCCTCTTTTTCAGTTCTTCAGCATTTTGTATACTTCGTCTAACTTTGAAAGATTCCCATTTGGCCCTTGTGTTTGCAGATAGATGGGGTCAAGGTAAGGGAGGGTCATGAAGAAGTCTTGAGAGTTTGGCTTGTGCAGAAGACAGCTGAATTATGCCATGCAGGACCTAGTAAGTGCAGTGTGGGAAGAAGAAAGGGAAAGATAGATGTGAGATGGTACACTGATTCTTTTTCTCAACTGCTGAGGGTAACCCAAGAAGACTGGATTCGGATTTTATCCTAGCTTTCCAAAAACAATATCATTGTATTACCAATAATATGATTTTTTCCTCTCATCTGGTCACTTTACAATGATAATGGTACAGATTTATAATGTACAGTGTGACAATTGAATACATCCTTTAAAGTTGTGATTAACACACAATAACTATACCTATTTATGAGGTACAGTGTGATGTTTCACTAGTATATACATCATGTGCTGGTCAAATCAGCCTGACTAGTGTTTCCATTCCCTTATCACTACTTTGTGGTTGGGCCTTTGCTCTACTCCCTTCTAGTCATCCATAAACATTATATATATATATATATATATATATATATATATATATATATATATGTAAAGAGTACATTGAAATATGGAGGACTATAAATTTGCATGACTACCTGTGCAGGGGTCATACTCATCTGTTTCATTCTAATTTTAGTGTATATGCTGCCAAAACAAGCACTTAATATTAAAATTCAGCATTAAAAAGATAAATAATATTTAGCATTAAATATTACATACTTGCCCTTAGATTAATAATAGATTCTTTATTTTATAAATGAGAAAGGAAGCCCACAAAAAAGCTGCTCGTGGGTGTGTGTGTTTGAACCTGCACAGTTAATTAAACTGCAAGAGCAGAAAGCCAGGCCTCGAGTTTCTACTAGTCTCATCTTACAAAGCATGGCACAGACGTTGGCGGGGTGGGAGTGGGGGTATATACTCAAGGAGCACACTGGCCAGAGGAGCATGAAAATGACACAGGCCTTCCCATGGCCAGCAGGCTGCAACTGTCCAATTGGATCAAGGAGCCCTGTTTTTTCTCAGTCCTACTCATCTTGAGGCAAGAGCCAGGCCTGGGGAGGAATTTCTGTTTTGTGCTTTGCGGGAAATGAATGCAGGTCGGATCTCTGAAAGATAGCCTCTGCTTTGCCAAAAACCAAAAATCACAGTGAAGATAAGGACTGCCTACTCACCTTCTCAACACCTGCCCCAGCCTGTTGCACAATGGCTTTTCTTTGTGAAAGCAGGAATTTGCCTGGCAGCCAGGCAGATAGCAATGCAGGCAGAGACTTGCAGGGCTTGGGAGCCAAATCTCGAAGAGGTGGGAAGCTTTAGGAACTGGCAGTGGCCTTGCAGGTGAAGGCTGCTGAGAGTGGCTGGCTGTGTTTCTCCCAAGCACTTGAGGCAAAGTCAGTGAGCACACTGTCACAGCAGTTTGAAAACTGTGTTTGCAGTGTTTATTCTGCCATCGCCACGAGGGGCTTTGTGGCTTGTGATTTTCACAATTGCTAGATAGAAACAAAAGAACACAGGGAAAGGACAGAAATGCAGAGGTTGCCAAAGGGAGAGAAGCTCTAGTCTCAGAAAATAAGAACGTCAGAAGGTTGGAGCTACCCTTGACTGCCCCCCTGTGGCCCATTTGGGAATGTCCTCCCTTTTGGACTTGCCTCTCCTGGTGTAATCCTGCTGATGGGATGGGAAATAAAGGGGAAAATGTGACTCATGCAGCATCTAAACATAATCTCCCTTCCAGGGGCTTTGCTCAGTCTTGTGTTTGGGGAAACCCCTGTAAGCCTGACTTTATTTAACATAGAGATACACCAGCTCCTGGGGAAAGCTGCACTCTCCAGACAGCCACCCAAGGAACAATAATGTCACTTGGCACTTTGGTGGTCCAGAAGTTCAGCTGTGACCTATGTGACTTAGAGCTTGTACATTGAACACTTAGGGCTTCGGTCATTTGGAAGCCCTGGCTATGTTTTGGGATCTTTGCATTGTCATTTATCTTAACAGAATTTTAAGATTGCCTTCGAAGCCATTTTGATCTTTACTTACTTGAATTTTTTATTTGTTCATCATAGATAACTTTTAAACTAAAGACTTTAAACTAAAGATTGCCAAAACGAAAATACTCGACACACAAAGTTATATATGTAAAGGTTTATTTAGCTCATGGCTCATGGCAGAGGAAAACAGTACATGACACCCACAAGCAAAACCCACAAGGGAAAGAAAGACTGGCCTCTTTCTGTCTCTTGTACTGAATCCAGGCTACCAGGATTACAGTGGTACCAGTCCCAGCAGTGGATTGATTTGGTAATTACCTATCCTTAATCTAAGCATCCTTAGTCCTCACACTGAGCCATGAATCAGTCACATACTTTAGAACCAGCCATCTCTGTAAAAGCCCCATCTAATGACTGCACGAGGTTTTGGGGAGCATCTAGCCACAATCATAACAGATTGTATTTTTTCAGGTTTACAGCAAATTGAAAGAAAGGCACAAGGAGTTCCTATAGACCCCTTGTCCCACCACAGCTTCTCTGTCCATCAGTGTACAAGCCAGAGTACTACATTTGTAAGAACTGATGGTCATTGATATATCATTATTACCAAGGTCCATGGTTTACATTACATTCATCTTGGTGGTGTATGTTCTACAGATTTGGACAAATTATAATGTGTATTCACCACATAACTCAAACACAGTGTTCACTGCCCTAACATTCTCTGTGCCCATGTATCACTCCTCCTCCAGGCCCCTGACAACATCCAAGCTTTTTACTGTCTCTGTAGTTCTGCCTATTCCAGAATGACATTCAGCTGGAGTCAGACCATATGTAAACTTTGCAGATTGACGTCCTTTCACGTAGTCAAATGCATTTCAGTTTTCTTCATGTCTTCACGGCTTCATAGCTCATTTCTTTTTAGCACTGAATAATATTCCATCATCTAGATGCATCACAGTTTATCCATGCACCTCCTGAAAGACATCTTAGTTGCTTCCAGATTTTGGCAGTTATGAATAAAGCTGCTAAAAACATCCGTATGTAGGTTTTTGTGTGGACAGAAGTTTTCAACTCCTTTGAGTAAATTCCAAGGAGCCCACTTGCTGGATCTTATGACAAGGCTATGTTTAGTTTTGTTTCTTCATGAATTCTTCAATTAATTTTGAGTTTTAAAAGAATTGAATAAAAATACTATTAACTGTGATATCTGAGTTTTGGGGGAGCCGTGGAAGCTCTACCTCTCTAGCCTCATTCCAGTGTCTTCCCACATGTCACCCCAGGAATATCTGGGCCCATCACTGCCAGCCTCTGGCCACAGAGTCCAGAATGAGGCTGAGTGAGGAAATCCTGGGTGCCAGCCTGTCCCACTCTGAGTACAATTTGTTACCCACATCCTTCCCTGCATAGTGGGGAGGCCCAAGACCCTGGTGGTGCAGCTTGGATGGGGCAGAATCCTCAAACTTCTGGGGGAGAGGAAACCCTCCCTCACTTTGGGTTGCTTTTGTCTGGAGATAAACATGTCCACTTCCCAGTTACTCCACTTGAATAACTCCCTGTATATATATATAGTATTTATGTAGATCATAAATGCAAGTTTCCTTCTGAATCTACCAATTCCAGATACTCAGATTCACCTTGCTATAGATGGAAAATCTTTGAAAAGAAAATTGTATCTATAGAGAACATGTACATTTTCCTTGTCAGTATTCCCTGAACAACCCAGTACAAAAACAATTTACATAGCATTGACATTGTATTCAGGGTTGTAAGTAATCCGCAAATCACTTTAAAAACACAGGAGGTTACACATAGGTTATGTGCAAATACCATGGCATTTTATGACAGGGAGTAGTTCTACAGATTCTGGGGTGTGAGCATCCTAGAATCAACCCTGAGCAGATTCTGAGGGACCACTATACTGAATGTAAGATATGAGCCTCTCATCGGGGAGGAACATGCTGAATTTTCAGTCAGAGCCAAATGACAGCAAAGCAAAGTCCTTTCTGATGCTGAGGGCCTGGCTAGCCTTTCTTGATTTAAAAAGCAGCAAGGTAAAGAAAGAAGTTTGCTCAGTGGCTTTGGTTTGTCATGTGACCAGGTTCTCATAACCTTCTGTCTGTCAGTC